ATGACATCTATGTACCAAGTTTCATTGAAATGTGATGATTAGTACTTGAGATATCAGTGGAAAAACCGAAAATTGACTAATCATTATGCAAATTAGGTAATTAGTATCCACGGATTATTACCAAAAACTAATCAAAACCTAGCATTAGTTCAGAGCATCTATGTACCAAGTTTCATCAAAATCCAATGAGTGGTTGTTTAGATATCAGTGGAACAGTCATGGAACCACTAAAAAATAGCTAATTATCATGCAAATTAGGTAATTAATATGCACGGATTTTTACCAAAAATTAATCAAATCTGCGCATATGTTCAGAGCATCTATGTACCAAGTTTCATCAAAATCCAATGAGTGGTTCTTTAGATATCAGTGGAACAGTCATAGAACAGCTAAAAATTAGCTAATTATCATGCAAATTAGGTAATTAACGAGCATGGATTTTTACCAAAACCTAATCAAATCTGCGCATTGGCCCAGAGCATCTATGCACCAAGTTTCATCAAAAACCGATGTATGGTTCTTGAGATAGCAGTGGAACAGTCGGACACACATACACACATACACACATACACACATACACACATACACACATACAGACACACTAACTGCAAAGACTCCCATTTTGTGCTTCGCACATGGGAGTCAACAAAACAGAGAAAAGTACATAACGCATACCTTGAATACTTTTCAGTTGATGTGCGAGACTGAAATAGTTTCTAATTCCATTATATGCATTTATACAAGTGTCCAGATAGAATTCAGGTACATATCCAAACAAACTACCTGTAGTATGGGCTGCACTGATGGACTTCAATACTGCTTTCAGAACAAATACAACGTTATCCTGTTTGTCCTGAAAACAGACATAATCTAGTAAGCATTTGCAAGCATGAGCAAGTTCTACAATGAGAAAGTGAGAGTATAGGCAGAATGAACAAACAATTGTTTATTTTTAGCACAGTTTCATAAAACAAAACAATGTTGTTAACCACTAAAATACTTCTATTGGTTAGTAAAATAATTTATTGCAAAATAAATAAATTCTGGTTATTTAAATTTATTAATGAGTAGAATTTTACATGTAAATGTACCTTTAATAATCCGGTGAATTTCCAGTAGATATTTTCTCAATAGATTTTTTTGAACACAATGAATTAATGGGATATATTTAGTAATCTTTTTTGTGAATGAATTTATTTTCTATGATCCAAGACATCCCTAAGTATATTTTCATCATGTTACACTATAGTTCAATTGACATCTGTTCTCAGGGTACATAAAGCCATCATTCATTAAAAAATAAATCAAAGAGAAATAATATAACATACCTTTGAAAATACAAGAGTTGCTACCCAAGCAACATGACGTGCATGTTCAAGGGTCTTTTTTTCAAACACTGAGTTGGAATGCATTATATCGTTGTAAACTTCTGCATTCTGGAAAAGCAGAAATACATTTTGAGTAGAGAATCAAGTATCCATATTATATGCATTGTACACTATTATTTAACTCTTTGAATGTTGAAGTCAGTTTTTACAACATAAAACTAAAGACTTCTTTTTGGGTTTTTTCATTACAGCAAGTCTCAGAAATATTGGGGCAGCCAATTTGCAAACTCGATAGCGAATTGGCTAACTGCTTTGGTTTTGACTGAACGGTTGGCTTTCGAATCTCGCTGGTGGCATCTTGTGGTCACGCCCACTTTGGGTGAATCTATATAACAGTAGGGACCCTGGTAGGGACGGCCGTCATACTTTAGAAGCTAGTCAGTGATGGTCTAACAGTTGGATGGCGATTTCACTTTCAATTATACCAGGGAAAGTGTTCTGTGTTCTTCGTGTAATGAAGTGAAGTTGAGTTTTATTAGCGGTTGGCTTAAGGTTACCCCAACGAATCGTTTGGATGTGAAAGTTTGTTTTCTCCCTGATTTGTGGGAATCTGTTTCTAAACTTGTATCGTTGAAACCATAATAAGCCATAGGTGTTGACTGACATTCCATTATTGATTCAGAACGCAGTCACCGATTGGTTAATCTCCGTCTGCGTGAAAAATGCCATAATGTTCTATTTCACTTTTAAAGTTAAACGGTAGTTGTGTTCCAGTTTGTTTGTCCGTGCTCAACTGTGGGTCAGTTCTACAAGTTTATGTATTCATCAGTTCGTTGAAGAGTTTCGTTCGCAAATAAATGCTCATGTTATCAATTGATTTGTGAGAGTTTAAGTTCAAGTTCCGCTGAAATGCTACTCAAGTTGGAATGTGGCCAAGCGAACCCAACCACAACTTGTCTCTATTTAGTTTCAATCAGTGTTCAAGTTTGCTACCCCCATATATATAGTAAATATCGGTGAATTAATCACTTATCATATTATTACTTGTACGTCACCTGACTGTGGCTATTCTCAGACTTACCAGGAAAATTACTTATACATTATTACGCCTCGCAAAGCAAATCATTCAGGGGAATCCAAACATGTACCTGGCTACGTATGTAAAAGCATTCCATGTCCCCTAATGCAATATAGGCTCACCCAGAGTGGACGCGACCACGAGTCGGTGCCATCGGGATTCGAAAGCCAAGCAGTTAGCCAATTCGCTAGCGAGTTTGCAAATTGGCTGCCCCAATATTTCTGAGAATCACTGTAACACTTAGAAATGGAAACTACCCTGGTAAGTATATTTTATCCAAAATTAACAAAAAAAATCTAAGCTATTTTGATAATCTTATGTTGGATGGATTATTAGCTATTTGTCATGGTTACCACAATATTTTTGCCATATCACAAGCAAGGTATATTATATGGTTGTTGCCATGGCAATTGCAATCATCATAGCAGCCTGTCAAAGGTTCCTGCATATCAAATATTAAAGCAATGAAGCACCATCCAAGGTACTTGTATAAAAAATCTTAAAACAATTCTGAGTAGCAAATTCATGGAAGAAATTGAAAATTTAGTTTTTACGAAAAAGTCTCCAAAATATTTGCCAAAAATACAAAAATTGAAATATTGACAAGAAATGAACAAATTTGACAGAGAACCACCCAAGATATATAGTAATATGATAGAGGGACTGTGTCTAAAATCTGGATTAGCTTTCAAATTCCATTAATATCCAGCATCCATTTAATGACAAAAAGTTACAAGAAACTAACAGCGATACAATTTCAAATTACAGTGCACTGATAAAGAAAACAGTTTGTATATTACCTGATTGCCACATTTCTTGAGTTTTCTTTGAGTTTCTTTAAGGGCAGTAGCAAATTCAGCTGCATTGTCATAAATAGCAGCCATCTTACCAAGTTGTTTATGAACACCAATGTCATAGAGCATAATAATACCATCTAATATCTCTAGTAACGATACACTAGACGGCTGTTCTCTCTTCTTACTACACTGATCTAGTAAATGGAAATGCCAACCGTAAATATTACAAGTTTATCTCACGTCTGTTTACTGAGTTAAAACCTGTTACATATAAATAGTTTGCTGACAATCTAATGAATATTACAATGAGACTACTGTAAAATGACCAATTTTCACTGGGTTTAAATTTCGCTTATTTACCATTTCAGGCATATTCAGTGGGTTTTAAATTCACGGTTTCGTCATTTAGATAATGTGTTCTATGCTCAATTTTATTCACTGGGTTTTAATTTAGCGCATTTTTCAGTCAGAGAAATAAGCTAAACAAGTCATTGTCAATGACACGTCCCCGTTCCGTTCATATTTGAGTGACATATACATTCAAAGCAGATCATGACCGAAATGCACCTGCATATGTACAACACATTGTGCTAAATCTGAACAAAATCCATCCATGCATGACTGAGATCCGGTTCTGGAATTGTGAAAATACGTGATTTTGATGCATTTTCGGCCTTAAAATGGCCATCATTCCGCTATTGTTAAGCAGATCATGAAACAAATGCACATATCTATTTGTGACATGATGTACCATGTGTGTGTGAAGTTTGAACTTGATCAATCCAGACATGTCTTGGATACGGATCCAGAACTGAATT